AAAAATGGGAGAAGAAAGAGAAGTTGAGAATAGCAGCATATCCCACCAAGACTACAAGTGCTGCCCCAGGGCAGACAGGTATGGCAGATCCAACTGCTGTAGCTTCCAAAATGAAAAAAAGATGTTGGCCAGGTAGGTGCAAATATAAAGCCACTGACAGAAAGTACAACAGTAGAGTGTAGGACTTAAGAGAAACTGCTACAGATTTTGGATTAAATGAAGATTCAGTTGTAAATTGTTTAAAGCATGTGCTCCACCAGCTTCATTGCACATTGGGCACTTCCTTGATGAATATTTAATTATGCCATCATGGGCATTTAATCAAATTGCCCCGCAGAGTAGTAAGACAAGGATGCATCTGGCAGCATTAGCATCACTCTATAAGCTCAAGGAAGAAGGACTGTCTTTAATGAACTGATGGGGAGCTGCTCACATGTCAGCAGGACATTATACCATTTACCAGCCACCCACTCCAATTGAGCACAGGTATCTCCATTGTCCCTTGGCAACCCCAGGGCTGAGTAAGACTCCTTGGACACCAGATGAATTAGGAGAGCTAGTGGCACAAAAGCACACCCACAATTCACAGCAAATGCCCATATGGCAAAATGCAGGGGAAGAAGCAGTTTACAGAGTTGCTTTCACATTCAGAGACAAACAAAATACTTTTACACATATCCCACAGGGCCAAGCACCTGCCCTGCTGCACATGCTTGTGTTAGGAAAGTGTTGGAATGATGATATCCTGAGGACAAAGAAAAGAAATTGTCTTATGTAGGTGATATTTGGGGGACTACAGCTACAGAATAAAGAGGTGCAAGAAGGAAGTAGCTGAGTTTTAAAATTAATAGACCAAATGGGATTTAAAATCAATTTGAACACCGCACAATTAATGCAACCCCAGGTTAACTGTTTGGGAATTGGAACTGGTGAAACAAGAGGATGGATAGACGCTACAAAGGTTAAACCCTCTGTGAAACAGACACATTAATCAGCCCCAACACTGAAGAGTGTTGGGAAGATTCAATTTCTTGTGGCAACATATCTATAACTGTGTTAGTATCTTGTGGTAGTATATTCATCTTTGCTAGCACTAGCAGAGCATTATGGAAATGACAGAAAAAAATCAGGAAGGGAGCTGGAGCAAAGAGCAAGACAAAGTTTTATCTAACATGAAAGAAGCTGCTTGAAAAGGTCCTGCATTAAAATTCCCAGTCAAAGGAAAGTTATTTGTAGTAAGAATTTCAACGTAAGCTGATTCTGTGGGAGCAGTACTGTTACAAAAAATAGTGAAGGAAAATGGATACCCGTAGTATATGAGTCCTCCCCTCTCCCAGGGCCGGACCAAAATTTCTCTGGTTATGAGAAAACCTGCTTAGAGACAGTCTGCGCTGTGATGGTCTTTGAGGCTTTCCCTTCAATAGTCCAGTTGTACCCTAGTCTGCTCATACTCTGTTCTTAAGCACAAAGAAAAGAAATGGGTCTTAATGGGGATATCCTTTTAAAGGAAGCCAGTAATAAACCATGTGCACTCATGGGAGTGCTAAATTTGAACAAGGAGGAAAATAATCCAAGATACTGCTATTAGTGGAATGAGGAAACAAATAGTGGGGAAACTAGAGAAAGGATCATGCCAAGGAGCTTGAAGACTGTCAATAACAGACAAACCCCTCTACACAATATCTCTACAGAAAGCTACTATGCTGATAATAGAATAAAATACTGGGTGACTGATAAGGAGAAAGGCAACGGCAAGCACTTAATGGGACATCCATGAATAAAACAGGAGGTTTATTTTACAAGCTTAGAGGGACAGTGGTAATAAAATATAGGTAAAGGAAGTTAAAGTACATGGAAAGACTGAACACAATACTGAGAAACAATTTTGTGAACAAACAGATAAATTGATTCAGAGTTTGTTTACTGCAGCCCCAACCAGGAATCAGCTAAAAGAGAAGATGGGATGGATAACGTGGCTGGCTCAACAAGAGCAAGTTCCCTTAGACTGTTGTAATAAGTTACATAAAGAAGTACAGGGTACTCTGGAAAGACTGGAAAAAAATTGTATTTGGTTCCAAATGCAGCAAGAAAGAAGACAGAAAAACCCCTGCATGAGCTGTGCAATGATGCAAAAGTGGACTAACAAAAGAAAGGTGCCAACTGCATTTGCTGAACCAAGGACCTTGGCAAATACTGCAAAGGGATCATCCAGATAAATTGTCAAAAACTAAAGAAGGGTATCAGTATCTGTTCCTATGAATATCTTTTCAGGATGGGTTGATGCATTCTTCTTGAAAGGAGTACAGTGGCTGGAACTGTTAAAGCTGTTAAAGAAAATTGCCCATAGGTATGGAACAACAGCTGAGATAGGATGACAAGAAGAGCTGTAAGTGAAGTAACTCAAGCCTTAATGAGTAACATGGGAATTAAGCGAGGACTGCATATATCCTACCACTTGCAATCCTCCCAACTGGTAGAAAGAAATGAGTCAGACTATTAAAAATAGACTAAAGAAAATTGTATGACAATATGAAAGAATTATAGGGTGAAAAGTCAAGCTCAATATTAGCAGCTTTAAGAAGCAGTGACAGATTATGGACTGGCGTATGATCCTACCATATTTTGTTTGTCCCAGACCCCAGAATACTATGGTAGGATAAAGAAAAAAACAAGGCTCAAGTAGAAGAAGTAATATGAGAAAAATAGGTAAAATGAGACAGGACAAATTCAATTTATATATGGCTTATGAAATAAGGGGCCAAGAAATGTATTTGAAATCAGATAAAAAGAAACAAGCCTTAGAGACAAAATGGAAAGGGACCTATTATGTTACTAATAGGATAAGTCCTCTAAGATATTAAATAGATGAGGGCAACAGTAAAGACAAATGGGTTCATGTTTCTCAGATGTCCCCCTAAGGGGCCAAAAAATTCTGGAATCTGTCATTAATTTGTCAAGAACACAGACACAGAAAATGCCCCAAATAGGAACCTCCGGCGCCTGTTCAGCCTAAGCCCCCGCACTTACAGCATGCCCCAGCGCAACCTCATCTCTCGGAAGCAAGGGAGCGCAGCCTGTGTGGTGTTTACCTCCTGTGTGGTGACAGCAGATCTGTTTATGTGCTTGCATACTAACGGGGCTGGCTTATGCTTTGAGTTTTGCTTATTTTCTATTTTCGTAGGGCAACAGATTTTACTACAGCTCCTTGAACAAGCAACAGCTGACAGAGTGATGGAGCAGCTATGCAAACTCTGAGGCAAAGCGGAGGAGCTGAGGGCTCCTGCAGTTGCAAGGATTTTTAACTGGGTTTTTCATTCCATATTAATAGCTTTGGTCTTTTTATAAATTGCATTAATTTTAGACATTTAACAAGGCAGATAATGACTGTGAAGTGCTTTGGAGAACTAGAGGCAACTACCATCAGACCTTTATGGCCAGATCAGAAAGCAAAAACCTCCATGGAGGCTCCCTACTCAGTCCTGTCCAGGGGTCTGGTATCACTGCAGGGTTTGCAGCGTTCTTGCTGCACTCATGGGTAGTAATCCAGGAGCTGGAGAGAAGAAACAGCGACCTGCAGGCCAGTAACATGGTATTGCTATTGTTAACAAAATCATAAGCTGTACATTATCTAGACAGGCTTCATTGTTACATCTTGCCTATTTGAAGGTTTGTTTTCTTTATTTTAGTCTGTTTTACTGGAGTCACCTATAAGATTTTCATGCCTAGATAGGTAACCTATGACCTAACTGCCTTAGTCTTGCATAGCTTTTTCCAGCTACTTAATCTAATAGTAATAACTTAAGACCCCAAATTAAAAATTGTTACAGCTCTTAAGGGAGCATTGAGAGTTACAGCTCAAGATCTGGATCCACCCAGATTGAGAAATCATAGCTGAAGCTTTGGAAAAAAGTGCTCTAAAATTTCAATAACTGAATGAACTCTGTAGTTTTATTCATTTACAGGACAATCCTCTGAGGAGGAGCAACTTGAGGAGAGCAGCTAGCCCTAGTGTTGAACTGCTGATTTCAGTAATGGCCTTTTAAGCAATTTAGGAGGAATTTAGGTGGGGGTTCAAATAAGAAAGGAAACAGAAAGGAGGTATTGAAGCAGATGGGAGACTAAGTGCTGTCAGTAGCTAAGTAGTTAAAATTTGAGAGAACTGGGGGTTAAGCATGTGTATGTGAAGGTCTGAAAGAGGATAAAATGTAATGGATTGTAAACTATTATGACTGAATCACAGTAGAAATAACACTGGAAAGAAACAGTATATTTAAGTATTGGAGGATACTTCATAGTCAAAACTTAACTGTTAAACCTTGCATTTTCTTAAAGAGGAAACTATAAAAATCATATATAGTGGATAAGGATGGTAAAAGTCTCTATAGAAATGTTATAACTGATCATGAAAACAACTAAGTGTAATTCTCCCCTTCACTGTCCCCCACAGCTGTTCAGCTGCCTCTATGCATCCCAAGCCCAGCTCTGATACTGCACAGCTGCATAACCTTGGGCCAAACTTCTGAGCAAACTGCTAAGTTATGAGACAGCCTGAAAGAAGATAAGAAAGGGAAAAGCAGGGGGAGGAAAACTGAGAGCTTTGGGGCAGATCAAGCCATTAATATCTACAGTGAAAGCTGAATGAAACTGGGTTTGAGCATCCTAACCACGTTACCTTCCTCAGAAATGGCTAGCAATAGCATTAGTCATACACCTGAGCTACAACAGGTGACAGTGATACTGGAATAGCTAAGAACAAGGTAATGCTGTACCTGTTTGTGTAATAGACTTGAAAAGTTAAAGCATGTGAAATCCTCCCAAGGACTGGAAAACTTGGGACACCAATGGCCTCACTCAGTCTGCAATAACCAATAAACTCAGGGCCACCAAAAGGCTGATGAGGCTACTCAGGGCCACCAGCATACCACTACACCAATAGCTGTGACTGCTATCTGCTATGGATTGCAGCTGGGTTCTTGAATACTCTCTGTAGTAGCGGTGCCCATGCTCTGGTCTGGCCAGGACTTGCCCTGTGGTGTTTGTGCTGGGGAGGATGCAGGTAGATAAGGACTGCTTTATGCCAGACAGGCAACTCTTAGCTTAGGTCAGTTTAGAGGTACGGAGCAGCTTATCGCAGCCTGGAGGGGTGGTACAGCTCAGGGTTTCTTCCCTAAGCATTCCCCTGTGTGAGAAGCCGACAGGCTGGGAGCTGGAATTTTAAACATCGGGTTGGTTCAGGCAGTAAAGCTTCTCAAGCAGCTCTGCATTTCCTGACTGTGCGAGGCTGTAAGAGGCAGGACACGGTGGGGACTGAAGGTCCCTCCTGAAGTTGCTATAGGATTTGCTTTGGGGCTAAAAAAGTGGAAAAGCAGATTAATTTATTCCCTCAAACTGCAAAAAAAAAAATAAAAAATAGATTCTCTCTCTCTCTCTCTCTCTCTGATAAAGAAGCTTTTCTCCTCTTCCTTGCACCCAGGAGCCTAGCACACAGTTCTTGACCTCAGCTTTGTAGCTTGGCCATGCCTTTGGTCTGTGCTAAGCCTCTTTCAGCAGTCAATAGAACGGCTACACCAAAAAGCCAGCAGCCCTTGGGTCTGTCTGCCTACACTCCTCTGAGCTGGCCCTACATACAAAAGTGGAAAGCTCTTGGGGTTGCGTGGTGACAGGCAGCGGTGCAAATGCTTGGAGAAGACAGGTAAGAGTTGTCAGTTGGGAACTAGGCAAGGGCAGAGCAGGAGGTTTTGGGGTTGCAAGGGAAGAAGAGAAGGAAAGAGCCCAGTTCTCATATTAACTGATAACATTGAGCGCATTAATCAGCGAGTGGAGTTCATCCCTTACGCTCTCCAGGGAGTGACAGATCGTCTGAGGGCTATCCAGGAGCTCAATGCTGTGGGTGTAGGGCTCATATTTCACTGAGAAGGGCCGCTTGATGTGTGCTGCGTAGCTCCTGTAAAGAAAGGGTGCAGATGGTTGGTACAAGAGATGGGTCCCGAGTCTCCCCCTAGCCATTAACATTCACTCGGATTGAAACAGGTTAGTGCCTCCTTTAGACAGTCTCTAGACAAAAGCTCTGGTTTCCTACCTCTCCAGCTCCACAGGGCTACTGCAGTAGTTGAGATCCCTCCTGTTAAGCAAGGAAGACCATAAGTTTGACTGCAGGTTTCAGTGGGCTGAACACAAGGGCTTGCATCAAACTGGAGAGTACACTGCACTGGTGAACTCTGTGGCCATTGCCAGGCATCCTCTAATGCAATTTATTTTATTTCTGTTTCAAAAATGCCAAGGAGATTTAGAAGCTAAATGCAAGAAAAGACCATAGCATTATAGTATTATATTCCTAAATCCTTTCTGACATTCATTTATTGACTAATCTCTGCTAGCGGAGGGAGGAACTAGCTGCAAGCTGTGTTAAGAATGGATCTGACAGGCAGTGGCTCAGGCCTGGGTGAGAGTATGGGCATAGCATCACCAGAGCCATACACTTGAGCAAAGTGGTACTACTGTACCCAAAGCCAACTGGAGTTTAGATCTCAGTGATGAGCATGACTTTACTTGATACCTCTCAAGAACAAGACCTTGCTGCTGCCTTTCTAATGAAGAAGTACATGCCCAGGTGAAAACAAATCAAGGGTAAGTTATCTCCAAAATTGCTCATGTTCACCTCAGATTTGTACACTTGACAAGGTAGGGTGTTTTTTTTTTCTTTCGTGGATGTGTAAATATGGAGCTGGGGATCTATATTTAGGCTACAGTATCACGCTGGGAAGGCCTGGGAAGATGAGGGGACGAACACGAGCAACAGGCATGCTCCTCGCCTCTACTGAGGCTTCACCCTTTCGCTTCTGAATTGCTTAGCTTAGGGTACCCTCTTGTGGCTACCGTGGGTGTGCTACTGGCGGTGGACTCTGGGAAGCGTATCCGTTTCTTGGGTGCTCTGGCTGGTACTGCGGGGAAGCCTGCTCCTGAATTGTCGGGGTTTGGGGGAAAACGCCAGACAAGGCCAAAGGGCAACATGGTCAAAGCGGCAGGCTGGTGCTTGCAGGGAAACCAAAACAAGTGTAAATGAAGGGAATTTCTGCATGCTCACATTGACCACCTCCTAAAGGTGTGGGTTATCTCAGTTCTACCAGGTGAGATCTGGTTCACCTCCCTTACTAATGCTATCAGCTGCAACGATGACTGTAGCACAGCTGCTAATGGTTACAAGCTTGCCCTCCAACACGGGTGTGTTCACTTAATGCCTTTTTCAAACATGCAAGTATGACATGGGTGTTTGGAAGGATACTGAGGATGTGTGTCTATAGTAGAAAACTGCTGGGAAGTTTTCTTTTGGGGAAAAGAGGCTTTTCTTGAGGAATAACACTGAAAATCAGGTCTACGGTGGCAGTGGTCAGTAATACAAAAAATATAGATTTTTTTTTTTTTTTTTTTTGCCCCAGAGCAACATCTGTGTGGTCTCCGAGCTCTTTCAAGAGGATTATTTACAGTGCTTGTCACTATCAAACCCCTCTAGTCTAATCTTGGCTGTGTATGGGTTCCATTTTTCCTTTTCAGATGCAAGAAAATGACTCATAAGGCAACAGTTGAGGATTTTTTTGTTGTTTTAAAGCAGCCTCGCATGTGCGAGAGGACAGGCTTCCCCAGGTGCTTGCTTTTGAGCAGCTGGACTCCACACTGTATGAACAGTACAAGTCAGGGTAATAAAAGCAGAAGCTGAAAAACAGCAGTCCTCACCACATCATTTATGTGATACACCCCACTTGCAAGAACTGCAAAGTCATGTATATTGTGCAATACTTTGTCTCATCCTTTCCTAAGCTAAGACAAAATGGTATAGGCAAAGTTTTCCTCTGTCAGTCAAATTTTAAGGGATTGAGCTTTCCTCCTTGGGCGATTCAGGATATAACCAAGAAAATGCTTTTCTGAACAAATAACCATGTGTAGAGCTGCCACTCTCCATCCTGTTTGCAGCCCCAGGGAACAGGGAAACCCAGTTATGCTGCTGGGATGCTGTCTGGGATCTGCTAACCCATGCTAATCAGCCTAGGAGACAAAAGTTCCTTTTTATCCATGCATAAATCTATCTGCATAAAGCAAATCTTTCTTGTTTGTATATGAACTACTAATTATGCCTGGAGGTTTTTTGCTGGTCGACAGATAAATGAGCAAGTTGCCCAGCAGCTGCTCAGAAAGACATTTTCCTGCATCCTTAATTCAGAGAATGACACAATTTTGAGCAGTTCTTCACCCCTCTCCTGAAACTTGTACCCACGGAGCAAATTTTAACATGATGCAGAAGTCTGTTTTCAGAAGGACACATACTGGCAAGATGCTTGCAGACAGTACCTGACCTCTATCACTTGGCCCTTCTACAGCAAGAAAGCAGAGGGGATCTTGGTGTGTGGTTTGGGTCTCCAATTTCTGGACCACCTTTTATGTTGCTTGGACTCCCTTAGGAACTGGAGATAGTCTGTAACTTCTTCCTATGGGAACTAAGCATAAAAGCTAGATTTTTTTCCCTTCTCTTGCACTCTCTGTTCTGCTTCCAAGAATTCCTCCCACTCCATCACACTCCTTCACACCCATGCTGTTGAGTCCAGCATATTTTTGGGGGGCTCTTGGGCAAATCTAAGGGACTGAAGTTAGAGTCTGTGCAAACTGGAAAATCACTTCACTTTAAAAGACCTGATATCAGTTTCCAGAGTACTTCTGAGACCTGGAACTGAAAGCAGACATGGTTTCAAGCCCTGTTTCAGTATTTTATAGCTTAACTGCCCTCTGTTTGGGTCTCTTTCACTGCCCAGTCCTACCTCAGTTTACTTTTGGCATCGCTGAAGCTCTCAGACACAAAATATACGGACTGGTAGTTCTGGTCCTGGTAGGGTTGAACAGCAGCAGCATCAGGGTCAAAGTCCCGCACCTCTGGCTCATCTGACAAGGAATGCTATGGACACAGCAGAAAAATGCTGTCATGAAATTAAAGGGATCTGAGAGCACACGTGATAAACAGAGATGGAGAACAGATTTGGTTTAGTCGTTTGTATTATGCAAAAGAAGGTGTTTTGCTTACAGGGTCTAGGGCAGAGAGGCAAGTTATGCTAGGACTTACTATGAGCTCCCCATAGGAAGACAGGAGCCCAGCTCCGTAAGCTTTGACTATCCCATTCTGTCTGCAGAGCCCAAACTCCACCGTAAACCAGTAAAGCTGTGAAAGGAGAAAGAAGAATGCATAGGGGACGCAGCTCATGTACTTCATCTCCCTGCCACTTCAGAGCCCTTGCATCATGGCCAGGATCTGGGGTTGTTTAAAATGAAAAGGAGCCTGTCACTTTGTCCTCTCTCCTTACCTTGCACCCATCACTGCCAGAGCAAAGTGCTAAACTGAGCTGCTGCCACACTGAGACAGGTGGAAAATGTGTCCCTGGGCTGGTCCCCCGAGTACCCAGCTGCTGTTTAGTGCCCTTAGAGCAAGACAGGTCACCTTGCTGAGGGAGAGGCAAAGGAAGTGGATGTCATTTAATCCCATCCCAAAGAGTCCCAGCAGTGCTGTCATTAGAAATATGATGCTTGGTGATACTTTGCTGCCCAAGAAAATTGGGTTAATGTGGAGGCTAGCTCTGGTGTTTAACTTATCTCCACTCATTGTCATTGTGAAAGAGCAGCTCTGGGGCAGCTCAGGTATAGGCTCTGAGCCTGCAAATCTGGGAAGGCCAGGCTGGACCACCCCCCTGATACCACAGAAGTACTGCTGAAGGGGTTGGGGGCCCCATCCAGCAAAGAAGAAAGCTTACTGTTGAAAGTTTCTCAATTTCTTCATCAGTTGCTCCCAGAGATGCCAGCCCAATGTCCTGGGAAGAGAAGGAAAGGGGCCAGCATCAGGACAGATTCAGTCCTACAGCCTTATGCTTGGATGCTGTTGTTACTACCTTGAGACAAAAGATATTGTTGCCCTCCACTGCCATGTATCTGCTGGGGCTTCATCATGCTCAGACTAAAAACACTTTACAGCAGAGCCTGGTATTTTCACTCTGTGTTAGGGTTCTCAGTCCTTCACTAGGGCTCCTGAATATTTTTAGTATAAATAAATCCTAGTACAAGAAGCACTTAAGTGGTGAGACTGGGTTTGGTCTGGGTTCCCACATCATGCCTTGTCCTCTCAGGGACAAGGGAACAGATGACCACCTTACCTGAGAGAACTGGGCAAACGTCTTGTCAGCCAGCATCGGGACATGCCCCAGCAGCTCATGACAGCAGTCCCTGTCAGTGCCCAGGGGGAAAGGAGGAAAACACAGTCAGCAGCAGACAGAGTTTGTCCATTAGGGGGAAAAGTTAACTGTTGGCCAGGTGGCATGTCTGGGCAGGGGAGGTCACTGGGGCTGGGCGATACTCACGGCTCAGGGGAGTGCATGGGAGAGGACGCGTGGCGGATGTACTGTGTGCACTGGAAGACACGGAAGGCCAGACTGGCGAGGAAGTCCCGCGCCGACAGCAAGCCAGCCACTGGCCGTAACTGAAAGCCGGTCCTCTCTGAAACAACACATACTGTCTCTGGGGAAGCACGTGGTCCATGTGCTGTCCTGGTGTCCCACATTCCCAGCACAGACAGCAAAAAGATCAGTGTTGGAAACTAAAGGGCTTCTGATGTGCCAAGAATAACCTTTTTGCTCCTACTAGGGAGTAACATCTGCTCTTTAGGTGCTCATTGGGACCATTTGACTACAGGCTTAACCTTCAGTTGCAGCTCACTGTGTTTGACTACAGTCCCCACTGCCTGGGATCTCCTGCTGTTCCCTGTGTGCAACATACAAGCTGTCACCATCTCTCCTCCCAAATCTTAGCTCACATGTTTCTCCTTTAAGTTTGCGTTTCCCAGCTGTAGCTGCCACCACTGTGCTGGAGCCCTGGCAGACCCTTTACCTGGGTCCCCCAGACTCATACCTACCTTTCAAGAAGCGGGAGACCTCCTCCAGCTGAGGGATGTTATTCTCATTGTAGCCACAGTATTTCTCCAGTAGGTTAAAAGCTTCGAGGTATTCCTTGCAGGCATGGGTGGGATACAAGCTCTTCAGGGTGCTGTACACCTCCTTCCTTCAGGAGGAGAGGTGGCAGACATTTAGTGGCTTGATATGTCTAGTCCCCTCCTGTCTTCTGGTTATATGCTATCAAAAACTTAAACCTCTACCTTTCTTGTCCTTACACTTTTCTCCTCCACTAAGTCTATGTTTGTGCACACTGATAGGGGTATGTAAACATACAGATGCACATTCAAATGAGCCTGAGTAATTGTATCTGCACAAACTTGTTTCTTACCTTGAAGTTCAGAAGACTGTATAAAAGACATTAACTGGAATAAAAATATTCCCTGTAGGTTAGCTACTACAGTTGCACTATGAAGACAGTCAATATAACCAGGAGATTGCCTTGTTTAGGAGCCTGTGTATGAGCTGCTGGTATGAGCTGCCCTTCTTTTCAGTGACATTCCTGGGAATAGTCATGTTCAAAGGAAGCATTTTCCTAAGTGAGGTACAATGCAGATACTCACTCCAGGACTCATACTTCTTTCTGCAGCTATGATAAGCACCCTTTGGAGTGCTGCGCTACTAAGCCAGGTCCACTTAGAGAAGTGGGACTCCAAATTATCTACCTTCCTCTCCTTTGGGACAGGCTTCTTTGGAGGAAATTCCTGGGGACTGCAACATGAAAGTGCTCTCTGTGCACCACCAAGGGAGGAAGAGACTGTTGTGGAGGTAGCTTGCTTTCCTGGATGCAGTGCCTAACATAAAATGCTGTACAATAAGTACTGAGTTTTATAACAAGCCATTAAGTAGGGTGCTTGCACTGCTGATGCATTTTTCAAGAGGTCACTCCCTAACCATTTAGGTTTTTATCCCCAGCTTCTAGTAGTGAAGCCAATAAAGGTCACAGATTAAAGCAGTGCTCACCAAGTAGCAATCTCCTCTGCCGTGTACTCCACGTGAGGGATCGGATCCCCACTGCAAAGCAAATGCACCATTACTGACAGCAGCAGAGCACAAGCCAGGCTCCTCTTCCCTTTGAGAAGGAAGCACTTCAGAGAAGCTCTGGTCTGAAATTCAACGATCTTCTTTAAACCAAACAAGAAGGCAACAGGAAAGACAAAGCCTTAGTACTGGGTCATTTGTACACATGCAACAAATACACAGGCAAAGAGAAAAGTGTTCGTCTAGCCAGAGGATGTAAATGAATGAGAGATAAGCAAAAGCGGGGGAGGGGGGGAATGGTTTTCACTAGGAAAAAAAAAAAGAGAGAAATTTTGTCTGAAAATGAATTAATTTCATGTCCCTGAACTTCATGAGGCTGATGACTCCAACAATGAATCAGTACCTGAGAAATAAAAGCAGCTAATGAGAAATACTAAACTCATTTGAACTGCAGCAAAATGTATTGTCACTAAGTTTGATTGTCAGTAACATTCATGTAAGTAGGAATTAAAGAAGACTGACACTTTTGCCTTTCCTCCATCATAATTACCAATTGCTTTTTCTAAATCCTTCTGTGTATTTGAACAAATGAGATAATCACATATTACTGTCATAAAGCATAGTTCCTTTTTCATTAACAGCCTAAAGGAACGCTACGCAGAGGCTCATAAATGCTAACATGCAGATGAGATGTGAGAGAAGACACCTGAAGTGGGTGCATCATCTTAGGACAGTATTTATTCTTGTGTCCCTCAGGACTCTCCTGCTGGCACAGTGACTTTCTGTGCATTTAGTATTAGTAAAGGATAAAAACATCAATGTCTGTATTCTGGGCTTCAAATCTGCAAAGAACACGAAACCTAACAGAGCAGAAAACAGTGCTGGGATCACACTGGTTGCAGGGGTAGCTCAAGAAGGTGACCCATACCATTTCTATAGCCTGCCTTCAGCACAGCTTGCTACAGAAATCTACATTTAAAGTCATGCTCAGAGAGGGAGATGCTACAGTGAAAGACAGTGTTACCAAATAGGACCTACGAAATATTTTACAAACCCATCTGAATATTAGAGCTGTGTTTGATGCTGTAGCGAAGATGTTGAGTGCTATCACTGCATTTATCAGAACAGAATTATGAAGTAGGAGTAGAAGAGATAGTCTTAAATCTATATATGACAATGACGAGACCATTACCGGAATCTATTTAATTTATTGCAGAGAGATAAGAGGTGAACCATTTAGTCTATAAATACCTTAATAGCAAAAAGAAAAATAAAATCTGATAGCAGAATTCAGTCTAACAGATGAAAAGCATGTATGATCCATTGGATGAAAACTAAAGCTAGTGAAGTTCAGTTTAGAAATAAACCCCACATTTTTTCACAGCCAGGATAATGAACCATCGGAACAAGTTTTCCAGGCATGTGGCAGCTTTTTAGGTACTTGAAACACTGAACTCAAAACTAGATGTCATTCTAAAAGAGACACTATATTTCAAAATGAAGTTTGAGGTCTGAAGGAATTATATATGGCTTTTGTCATGCACAAGATTCATTCTTATTAATTTAGGAATTAGTCAGTATAGACATTTTCTAATTAAGAAGAGACTGGAATACATAGAGAAAAGACAGACACAAAAAGAGCTGGTAAGGCTGAATGGGGATACAAAACATAAAAGAAAAAAAGATAGTACAATGACTTCCCAACAGGTTGCATTGACATGGTATTATACTTGTATGCATGTTAGCAAAGGGACTTACTGCTTATAATGAAAAGCAATTTCCGCTATTGATTTCCTTCTCCGGCGATATACTTGGTCAGAGTAGCCCTGTGATGATAAATAGGAACAGAGACAGGATTTTTAATTACTAAAATTTCTCACCCAAGTTCAGCACTGACTGAAGAAACTTCTCTCATGGTGGTGAACGCACTACCGCTCCCTGATCAGCTGCACTAAGCAGTGTTGTCCAGCTTGCTGCTTCTGAGGGAAGGCTCAGGACATGAGAATGTGCCCACGCAGATTAACTTACTGGGTGATCCAGATCCAAGTCAGGGTCAAACTTGGTGACCAAATGGTGGCACTTGTCCAGTTCACAGATTTTTCTGGGAAACCAGTGAACTGTGGGTAGAGAGAAAGAGAAAAACTGGTTGTGGAAGCGAAGATGGAGCATCCCCTGCTGAGAAGGGGTTGTGAGGTTCAAGAAGATACATCTGACATGATGTACCAAATGCAGACACACAACAGACACATGACAGTTGTGCCTTCTGGGCAGTAGATCCATACTCCCAATGCTCTTGTTCTACACTCAGGTCTAATGTCATGATCTGTACCTCATTACTTCCCTGCCCATCTCTCAGTGGAATATTTTATGACAAAAGTAAACAAGAAGATAAAAATTGGATTTCACTTAAAGATTCTAGACTTCACATTAAAAAACAAATCCAGAGATCCAATTGGTTGTAGGGCAATCACTGCAGATCTTTTACAATAAGTATAACCCTGTCTTCAGAACAGAATGGCAGAGGAGTGTCTTGTAATTTAGTGCTGGATCTATACACAGTTCTTGACACACAGGTAGGAAACTACTTCACATTTATAATATAAATGTTTCCTACACTGGAGTAGGAATGGAGAACTCTATAGGAGAGGTGTGAACAAAGGATGAAATTTCATCTTCTATTTCTGTTTTTCCAGTCTACACCACAAGAACGGGCTATGGACTCTGGAGTCTATTGAGAAATGGACAAGGGGGGAAAGGGCTTTCAGGATTCAGGTGTGCCAGAGGCAGTCTTTTCAGTTGTGCTCAAATTCAGGATACAATAGCCCATCATCTTTTCTGGGAACAACCCTGTTTCTACAGCCCAGGCCCTCTGCAAAAGTGAAACAGTTTGTAAGTTCCTTACATTTGTCTTCCTTAGTGGTCCTCACGTCTTCTGTTACCCTCTTGATGGAGCTAATGAAAGTATTGAGGTCAGAGCTATGGACTTCACAGCGCACAAAGTATTCCAGTTCAGCAGTCCCTTCTCGGGGCTTTCGGCTAAGCCTGGTCTCCAGGTGGTGAATTTTAGCTTCAAATGTCTTTTGGGACATGGAAAAGGAAAACAAAAACATTAAACAGCACTTGAAATACCTGCTGGTACTTCCCAAAGATGTCTATATGAATGCATCTGGGAGGGAGTCCCCTTGTCTTTTTCTTCCTTTTTTCCCCTTACTGGGATAAACATATTTATCCATCAATTCCAGTATTCCTTCTGACCAGTAGGGCTGGTCAATAACTATTGTAGAATCAGAAACATAGAATGGGTTGGGTTGGAAGGGACCTTGAAGACTATCCAGTTTCAACCCTCCTGCCGCAGGCAGGGACACCTCCCACTAGACCAGGCTGCTCAAACCCCCACCCAGCCTAGCCTAGGGATGGGTCATCCAAAGTTTCTCAGGGCAACCTACTCCAGTGCCCGTCATCACAGTAAAGAATTTCTTCCTAATGTCTAATCTAAATTTACCCCCTTTCAGTTTAAAGTCATTACCTCTTGTCCTATCACTACTCACTCTTATAAAAGTCCTTCCCTGGTTTTCCTGTAGGCCCCTATGGGTACTGGTAAAGAAGATCATATCAACAGTGGAAACTGATGCCGTGAAGTAACTTCGCCTATGGCTTCCTCTCCTTCAAACTGCTACTGAAGGCAGAGGTGCTTTTTTGCTGGTGGGGGATAAGGAAGAGGTTGGCGATTGTGTAGCAGGGGCTGGCTGCGGCAGCGCCGCGGCGTTGGCCGTGGTGCTGAAACGGCGCAGCTTAGCCGTACCCAACCCTCAGTAGAGTTAATTTGGGACTACCTAGCAGAACTGATATAATTTGGACTCATTATCACAACTGGCCTCCCCCAAAGAACAGAGGGGGAAAAAAAGGATTCTGCTCTGGTAAATTTTAAATATTTTCTTTAGTCAGTGATAGCTGGTAGTACAAACCCAAGTCCCTGGGCAATGACCCAATCTTCCCAAACTCTCTGCAAGATCTTTGGTAGAGGAAGAGACATGATTTCCTTTATTAATCAGAGGCAGAATGACGAGAAGGAACAGATGCAATACCACAGGTAAATTAAATAAGGAGCGTGTTTTTTAATGTACCTACCAAATTCACTATTACATTGTCCCCTCAACAATCAATACCTTTGCATTAATCTGACAGCTGTGATTGCATTACCTATGCTTGGCTTCATGTAACACATACAGAAGAGTGAAACCAGTTTCCCTGAAGCCTGATTCATGATGAGGCAAATGTCATTATGCCCATCTGCTTTCGTATCTTGTACCTGCATTGCCAAAGGGATCTGGGAAATGAATCTTCCTCTGTTGTGGCTTGACATGCTTGTCTTTTTATTATATTTAAAGCTTTCTCTGTGACAAGCTCAAAGAGCTTTTTACTAGGAAATCTTTTGATGCAGCAAGTAAATTGCTCCAGGAAGAAACAAATAATATTTGACCATAAGCTGCCCTAGCTTCTTGTTTGATGTTTTAAAAATTGTTTAAATTATAGACTTTAAATAAGTTGTAACATAAAACCTGCCAAGTACCAGAGGCTGCACTTCTATGTTTCATACCTTCTAAGCAGTCTGTTGCATTTGAAATGTTACACTGATGGATTTTTCATGCCTTATCTGGCAACTGTGCACTTCTAGGAAGGAGACTTCATCCATGGCAATACCAAGACTTGTCTGACAAGCTTGTCTTAAAGATTCTTTCAGTCTTGAGACAAGAAAACAAATTTTCTTGCAACAATCCTTTTAGAAGAAATGCAAGAGGTTTTATAATTGCTCAAGATCTTATCACTTTCTGTATGATTATCAGAGATAGTACTACATGGGCACTGAACAGTAAGATTGACCTACAATTTCAGGGAAATCCTTATCCCCCACATACACCTTTTGTATATTTACAGCTTTTAGGTAGTTTTTTTGCTGTTTAGTGTTGCTAGTGATCTTGTTTTACACCAGAAGAGGTTGATTTCATGCAAAAGAAGGGGCTATGTAATTATATGTATTAACACATGAGCTGGTAGCATGCCCTTGTGATAAGGCCAACCATGCTGAATTATAGAAGCAAGAGTGTAGACAACAAAATCGAAGGAAGTGATTTCTCCTCTGTTTGGGATGAGTGAGACTACATCTGGAGCACCTGGTCCCATAAGATGGAAGGCATTAATGTACTTTATGCTATGCACTGTAGCATAGTGGAGAGCTGCCAAGCAGCTCAGTGGGCTGAAGCAAAATGTTATATGAAGAAAGATCAAGAGAACTGTTTTTTTTCAGCCTTAAGAAGTGAAGGAGCAGCGGAGATTGGTTCACTGCCTAGTACCTGTAAAGCAGACAGAGTCAGGCTTATCGGAAAAGTACACAGAGGGAGGACTAGAGCTGGAAGCAAGAACATTATAAAGGAAAAGAAAAGAGAAAAACCTTTTTACCATGAAGGCACTCAAACACTGCCAAGGGGCCCAAGGAGACTGTGGCTCCTCTACCTTGGTGATATTCAAAATGCGACAAGAACAGTCCTGATCAACCTGCTGTGACTGAATCTGCTCTGAGCAGGAGGTTGGACTAGAGACCTCCAGAAGCCACTTACAACCCACGTGACCGATTAATAGGAACAAATTGTTCTTTCCTCTCACTGCTGAAGTAAATGAAATTAAACTATTGTAGGTAAAACATACCTCAGAGCCTCAGTTTGCAAAACACTTTTGAATCCTTCTGGGTGAAAACATACTGCATAATGCGAGTTGTCATGTTTTGATTACTGTTTAAATAGGCAGCACTTATCTCAGTCTTTCCATTCATGGTACTGAGATCCTAGATAATGCAACATTATATGGCTAGCTAGGGGGGGAAATCTCAATTAGTTACCATTTTCCCTTGGTATTAAAACCATCTACAGGGCACATCTCCAGGGAGCAAACAGAACCCTTAACATATGATTCAAATTCATCCCTGAAGTAGGAAGTTATTTTTGAAATCAATATGCCAGTTTTATATTCAGGGTGAAGTTTTTCCTGTAATTATTTGACCAAGGGACAATATGCCAACAGCACTCAGAGGCTGACAAATCCTTGACCCACAGGTTAGGTAGGTTTGGTCTATAGCCATGCAGGGCACAGATCTTGCTTTGAATGGGGGATCAGAGCCTTGTGCATGAAGTTGAAGTGATGAGCAGTGGAGGGGGCTGTCAGGGAATGCTACAACACACATGGGTGTGGATTGTAGGTGTGAAACTGTGTGGTTTTATCCAGAAATGGATAAAGAGCTTAGCAGCGCTACCAGATAAAGGTATGGCTCATTCTGAGTGATGAAAAATGAGGGCATGATGGGCATGAGCAAAGCATGACTGTGGGGATATCAGAAAATTAACTTATAATTTGTAGTAGGAAGGCATAGTCTGAGTCTTATTTAGTAGACTCAAATGATATGTCTCACAGAACAGCCATGAAACCTGTAGTGTGTTCCTTGAGTCCCATACAACCGGTTAGGTACTCACCTCAAATACCTTAAGTGCACGGGACAGTGGTGAAGTCTTGGCTGCCTTGAGCATGAAGAAGAGGTTCAGCATTGCTCTTCCATCCTTCTCCTCAAAGACAATGGTCTCCGTAGACTCTGCAGCATCAGTGGCTGCAGCTGCAGCCTCTCTTTCCTTCCTGGCATCTTCAATGAGACTTTGACGCCTACCAATGAACCGTGGAGACTGAAGGCAGAACAGATATAATTAACACTTCTGATAGAGCTGTATGGGAGATCAGAGGCTTCGCTGGTAGCTGGGTGAGATATGACATGTGTGTCTCAGAGAATGTAGAAGGGGAAGGTTGGACTGACTTGCCTGACTTTGTAGAGGAAAATATAGTGATAAGGACTGAGGTCTTAGAATTGAACTTTTGGAAAAGTGGAGCTTTAGGAAAAATCTGTGTAAAATACCGCTGTAGCATGACTGGACAGTGGGCTTCCCTCCTCACCTTCCCTAGCAACAATTTCCAACATCCTTCAAAAAAATAAGAATCAGAAACAATCTTATGCAGATCTCAGGTGTCTGATAAACTCAAATGGAGAGATGTTAGGTAAACTTGAAGTCATCTGAGAAAAGATAACTGTGAGAGACAGCTGTAGCCCACAGCTGTGGCATGGCCTGGCCAGGAAAAATTAACTGTTTGCAGGTGTATTGAAAGGGCAGCTTAGCTAAACTGCTCCCAAGATCCAACATAACATTTTCATTTGGCATCAAGTGGATGCTTGTGCATTGAAATGTAATTGGAACCACATCCATGTACTCTAGAAAATAAATTCCTCCCACTGATCTACAGATTTGGTTTGTCCCAACAAACTCCTGCAGATTTCTGTTACTTGGAATTGCACCTAAAATGCCGTAACTCTGTGCCTGGAGTCATGTTAGGTCACTCATTTATATTTATAGTGAGCTACAAACTATTTCAGTCACTGCTGTTTCTTTTGTTATACAAATAGCTCATATACTGACTTATTTGTTCATGGTACTTTACAACCAGTTTTTCTTTTAAAGCCAGCTCAGCTGGTTCCAATTTTCTGTGTTCAAAACCCAAGCCAGCTGACAAACCCCCAGAACTTCCTAAAAAGAAACCTGGGCAGCACTAAAAAAGGACGTAAAGACACCCAACACCTGCATATAGAGCAGGATTGGCTGCAGTTTTCCCTCTGATTACATTGAAAATAACTGGAAAAAGAGATAGATGCTAATCAAGGAGCACCTTCCCTTCCTTGTGACAAATTGGAGAATGTTTTCCTCTCAAAAAGACAGTCCACTCAACTACTAAGCCCTTTTTCTCTCTGATTTTCAAAGCCCACCACTAGCAGCTAACGCTTCCTGAGAAAATCCTCGTGGATGCTTCAGTGGTGTAACACTGACATTTAAAATTCAGCCTGAGAAATGCAGCACATCTAGATGCCAGCCTACGTACTTCTATCTGGTCCTTTCTTTAATAAAGATACCCCTCTGAAATGATATTTGTTGATCCTCAACCCTTTTATTCCTTCTGGCACAGAAAAACACCTTCTAACAAATAAGCACATACTGCTACTTGTCTAAACTGATGGTACTCATGCCCAAAGAGAGAAGATGTCTAATAAATATCCTCATCTGTAACTCTTACAGTCTCATGAAAGCATTCAGCTTTAAGCATGTGTTTTATATCACTACTGTGTTTAAAGCTAAGCTGGTGTTTACTTTAAGGTGCCTGCAATAAGCAGGGCAAACAATCTTTTGCTAACCACCGTAACGGGGCTGTGCAGCAGTCCCAAGCCAGGCAGCGCATTAGCTATGGATGTTTTATCACACTGTGCCCAGAGGAGCAGAGATGCAGCAAGATTTTACTTGTGGGGTGGAGCGGGGGAGAAAAGGGAAAACAGGCCCCCATGTTTACGCTGTAAGTTAGGTTAAAATCTGTCTCTGAAGAGTTTAAATAGCAAGAAGACTTGTTTGACTGGAAAGGCACATGGGAGAGGTAGCTTTGACTAGTCAGATCCGTGTGCTGTGACTGGGTGGCCCCTGGCAGTCAGGAATGAGGGGTCCTGGAAGCTTCTTAGCTCTATGGTGGCATATTTGGGGTGGATAAATTTTAAAATTAAGAAAAAAAAAAAAAGACATTTCTGGGGAAGAAGAGGTCTGGGAGGGTTCAGCCCTCCTGCTGCCCCCTCTGCCAGGTAGAGGCTGCCTGGCTGGATGCCTCCCATCTCATCATTCTCTTCTCTGCCCCTCACCATTTACATTCCTTTTGCTGGAAATTAGGAATTTGGCATATAAACTAACTGCTATCTCATGATAAATGCCTGCCTTTCTTCAGAAGGCACCCTTACATGGTATTTCCAAATTGCCTTGCAGACTACCTCTCTGAGTGCATATTTAGCTACAGTTTTGCAGAGCATTTATTTGCCTCACTGAGGCTGGAGTCTGATATGCTCACACACCTCTTATGAAGGGTTAGTTTGCACTTCTTCTGAAGGATTAGTTCATTTTTTCCTTCCTTGAATTTGCTGCAAATCAGAGTCCCCTACCTGAGTAGTCTCATTAAAAATACTGTGTTAGGAGTTAAAGTACTGTGGCTTTTTATTCCTGGAACATTATTTGCAGGAAGCAGGAAGGATTGCAGAGGCTATTTCCCACCCAGCAGCATGGGGACATTAATGTCATACCCTTGCTTTCCTGGGCGCTCCTTCCTGCTGGTTTGCCTCCAACTGCTGTGTTGTGTCTGGCCCCACTTGTGTGCTCTGTAACGAAATCCTGCCCCAGATACACTCCCAGGGTGTCTTGTAAAAACTACTAGCAGCAGAAAAACTAAATACATGAAAAGAGATTTTTCCATGGTGTGAGTCTGATGTTTGGCTGGCCCAGGTGACATGTAAAATACCTGCCTGTGTAAATGAGTTCTGGGATCGTAAAGGCCATTTTCCCAGCTGGCTGCTAGTCCCTGGGGTTTTATGGCAAGGAAACACCTCAGACCTGCTGGAGCTGGTGCAGTGGTGGGCAGGGGCTGGCCTGCCGATCACCCATGACCACACAGACACCACACACACACAGACACTGGGTGGCCAATCGCCACACATGGCCACACAGACGCACAAAACGTCTCTGACATACAGATGCAGTCAAACCTCTTACCTGGTAGAAGCCAGTAAAAGAAGTGACGTGGTTTTCAAGATCTGTGCTAGGTGAGAGCAAAGGGCAAAGCCTTTCATGCAGCCTGCTCTGTGATCCTTACAAGATTAAGTTGGGGTTTTTTATTTTTCTGAGAAATTCCATTCAAAGAAGGGATATAAAGATGGGCTGAGGTTCTCCCTGGAGGACAGAGGAGGAGCTACTCATCCCAAGCAGGTTGCTATACCCCAGCCAGTATACCTGGTGAACTCAAATTCCTCTGGCCCCTTTGTTCAGTGGCCTGTTTCCCATCAAACATGAAGCAGCACCCCTAGAGTGTGTAATAACATGACACTCTCCCCTTCTCCAGAGAGCAATGAGCATCTCAAATACTTATTTGATGAGCAGCCTGGAAAATACCAGGCTTTCAAGAACCACTTAAGTGTTCATTACTCTGACAGAATGAAAACAGTTGTGTGAGAGGGCAGCCTTCCCTTATTTCCATTTGTTATAGAAAGCAAGCTTACCTCCTTGTTTCCTAAATATTTCCCTTGTTTTCCAGCATGCTCCACTCTCCAAAACACCTCTTGCTGCCTATGCAATGGCTTATTTTACCAAGTCAGAGCACCATACAAGGTAAGGAGAGTGGGTGAAAAAGACAGCGGTCATAGGGGAAGGAAATGAGGAGCTCTATAACCAACCTGCTGGAGTCACCCTGAAGACTTCTGCCAAACACATCTGTTCCCTAACCTGTCTCCGTTCCTGCATTTCCTCCTGCAAAGCATCCTGAGGGGGTCCCTTCCTGGTGCACCCACTGCTACGGTCTGTTCTGTCTCCTCCAGTGTTGCCCGTAGCCTGCTCGTATCTGTGACAGAGGACTGTCCTGTGCTGGGAGCCTCAGGCTCCTCCTGCCTACCCTGACATTTGGGTTAGGAGGTGAAATGTCCCTGTCCCTATAGACAGTCCAGTGGTTTGGCCAGACTTGGTTTTCTAAAGGCACAGATCAGCAGGAGGTTTTCATCTCCTTTCCCTGACACAAACAGATCTGGTGTGTGCAGAAGCATTCCACCAGCTAAACCCAGAGCTGGGTCCCTGTCAGGGAGGGCTGGGAACAGAAACGGGGGAAGGATGTGCTGGGAGAGAGCTTAACTGTGGATGCAGCAGCAGTGAACAAACTGATTAAACTGCCTGCACCTCATATGTTGTCTGAAATAACAGCCACAGTTTTACATTATGCTAGAACAAGTGAAATCACTGCTGTTTATTGCCTTGAAACCAGGAAAACATTAAGATTTTCAAATTGCCTTTCACGCTGTGGATTCTGTGTTATTCCTGCCTTAATTCTATGGGTTATTTACCTGCTTTTGGTGGGGAGAAGGTGGAGGTTGCATTAGTTCAAGATTTCATCCCCCTAAATGTTTGCATTTCACATGTACCTGTATGTAGAGAAAACTGTTCAAGTAATTTCCCTTTGCCAGCCTGAAGCCCAGAGGTGCACATGTGGGGGAACTCCCACAAAGGCAGTGTTGGTCCATCTGTCCCTGCTTGCTTCTTCCTATAGCTACACGAGATGCTGCGGTTTTCAGAGGGGGAGGGAAAGAAGTGGGGTAGGGTTGTCTTACCATGATGGCCTCAGCTTGCTTGGAGTCCAGTTCTGACACTGCCCTGCGGAAGCCTTTGGCTGCAGAGGTGGAGATGTTCGGGGTTGGCATCTTTGCTCTTCCGTGAGCTCTGCTCTCTGCTTTCCAGCTCCTTGCCAGCTCTTTATAGGGCAGGGCTGACGTCAAAGACTCTTTCAAACCTTTTCTCCCTCCGCCACCTCCCCATCACCACCTCCCTCCTTTCTCCCCCTCAGGCTGAGAGGAGGAGGGGACATGAAGGAGAGAAACGTTTCTGTCCCATTAAATCTAATCGCTACAAAGATTGCAGACACCCTGCCTTTGGACACCAGACACTCCCCCCACCTGTTTGCCTGTGCCCAAAAGATTTCCACTCCGTTTTTTTTCCCCCTTTCTTGATGGAGTTAATTCTTGTGCTGTGTTTCAGTCCACATTTGCTTTCCCAACTTGAAAGTTGCATGAAAGGATTTTGATCTGCGAAAGGACAAAACAGAAGGCAGGAAAAGATTCAACCCTCTCTAGCCCTTTTTTTTTTTCACTTATTTGCCTTGTCACCGAGGCAGTAAAGAAATAAGAAAATAACACTGATTCCCCCAAGGCAGCTGTGGGACTGGATGCTGCTCTCATGTATGCACCTCCTGATGCCTGGCTCCTGAAAACTGTGTATTTCAGTGTTCTCCCACCACCTCATGTCTTGGTTTGGCCACATAGCACTAATAGCAGGATGGCAGAATCGGGCCCATTGAGCCTTCAGAGATGAAAAAGGCTATAGAGAAAATAACCTGGAAAAACCCTTTCAGTCCTGCCCTCCCAAGGGCTTTGCTGCTCTTGAAGAAACTCATAAGCAAAAAACGCCTGCAGACAGCTGGGGCTGTGACAGTGCATGGCAGCTCAGGACCCATGCCAGGACTCTGCTTTGCTGTGAGTAAAAGTGTCCTTTTCCTCCCTGGAGATTTGCAGCAGCTCTCCTATCCCAAACAAGTGCTGTGGGAACCCATGGTCCTGCTTTGTGTGAGCTGCTGCCACACTGGGGACAGGACACGGGCTGGCACAAACCCCTGCAAGCAGGGAAGCTGGTGGCCTTTCACCAGCTGGCTGCCAGAGAGCTCACCCACAACCTTGCTGATCATGACATTGCTTTAGAAGATCTCTGCTGAAGACACCTGGTTAGGGTGGGTGGCTCATTCTTCCTATGTGGGACAGCCGAGTTTGTGACAGCGTGCTGATGATTTTTGCAGTGACAAAACTCTTGGAAGATCCCATTGACCTCCTCAGGGCTGCAAATCTCCTGACATTTGCCATCTGCAAACACCAGGATCAGATAGTGTGATCAATACTAAGGCAGCTTGGGTTAGGGTTAGGGTGAGGGTTATCTTGGGAAGCTCCTGCTGGCTAGTGGTTGGTGGAAGCTGAGGTTGAAGTAAGCAGCAAGCAGAAGCCAAAGATTTGGTCCAGTAGTGAGCCAAAAATAACTTTAAGTGGAGCAGCTTCTCTTATTATGGGTGCTGAGGACACCCTGCTGTTTGGTGCAGTGGAAACCAGAAGGAGTTAAGCAGACATCAAGGCTCCTCTCTCCCCAGCTTCTGCATCCTCCCATGTGGTAACACCTCGCACACTAAGAAACATCCTTGCTTTTGTTTTAATTTCATCTCTAATCCCCTCCAAGTCTCCTAAACCTTCTGTTTGTCCTCTGCTAAACCCTGAATGCTCAAAACACAAGATAAAAACCCACCAAACTGATGGAGGGTAATGCTGCCTGGTGTTTCAGTATCTTCTCAGAAGATATTTTGGGGAAGGTCCTGAATCACCCAGCTCCAGACGAAGGAGAAGCATTGCAGGCCCAGTCACCTCCTAGCTGCTAGGGTGGCTTTGAGGGCCGCCTTACTGGGGGGTATGAATTAACACAATCCTATGGTTGATCTTTTTTCTGCCACTGCCTGAGGTGGACCATGGTAGCTAGACAAGCTGGGGTGCTGGCAACACCGCACTGAGATACCAGCACTCAATTCCAAGCTGCTGCTCTAGCCAGACATCCTTGTCCTGTCTGTGCTCAGTGTAGGCTGCACTTTTTCACAACCTTTTTTGAGCCTGATATTTCTAACAGGTGCACAGAACAGATCTTCAGCATTAGGGTGACCATTGTCACCTAAGGAGTGATGGCTGTCATTGACAGCCTGGTTCAATGCCCTGCTCAGGAATTCATTGCCTCCTGGCTAAGGGAACGAAGGCTTTTGGGGATGACTGTGGGACAGCATTAACATGAAACACTGCTCAGCTCCTGCCAGAGTTAATCTTTCCAGGACACTTAAAAAGATTAGGATCTCACACAGATTGCCACCCATGCTCTCTTAGGTTTCCATGTTATGTCCTGACTTTTTAGAAGAAGGCTTTTCTCAGGGACCTCACAGACAGGATTTTCAAGCGGCATGATGCTCATTTTCATGCTATTTTACCCCAATCACATCCAGAGTGTGAAGAAGGATGCCACCCCAGGCAATCCTGCAGAAGTCAATCATAGCAATTTACCCTGGTTTTTACCCCACAAGAGATCTTGTCCTATCCAGATACCAATTTTTTTTTCTTTTGTGTGGTTTTAAGTTCATCTTCAGTACCTTTTCTGGTATAGAGGAACTAAAGTCAAGCAGACCGCCAGAAACAGCTGCCTCAAACAACAGGTATCTATCGTAGGTTGCACCAGTGTCTTGCCTTAGATAGACTGAATACACTCTGCTGTCAGGGCTTCTTAGTAAGCAGGAAGTAGATCTCATATGGAAACTCATACGAAACTCTCATATGAGTTAAAAGCAAACTAAGACCATGTTGGTCATCTGAAGATAATCTATGAAGAGTGGCAGGAAGAAGAACCAACTCCAAAAGAGGCCACAAAACTAAGCTTGTGTATCAAGCTTAATAGATCAACAAAGCCCTCACTGGGCGTTCTGTAAGTCCATTAATGCCAATAAGGTAATCATATAAAGAAAGTAAAGAAGATGTCTCTTGCAGCCATCTCCTGTTTGCTTTGCCTAAGAAGTTGTCCTTGAACATTGTCAATGAGAAACAAAGAAACTTGTAATTCTGGATGAACCCTTCTGGATTGAAGTGCCTTTAAAGCACCGTATGAATCAATATGAATATGAGATTTTGGCATTTTTTGTTTGAGCTTTTCAGTTTGATTTTAGGACAAAGAAACATTTCAAATTACTTAATGAATCTGATCTCTTTTTCTGCATACTGCTTTCTTACCTTAAAATCAAAAAGATAAAACTTTTTGCTAGCTCTTTTTGTCTCGATAACTGACTTATTTTAAAGGTCTCTTTAGAACAGCATGTGCAAAGGATTATAAACCTAAAATCAGCCATCAAAGCAAGTTCTAGTTATCCAAATTTGTAATCAGTTTGCTGAAAAGATAGCCTTAAAATGTCAGTTCATGTAAAGAATTGAGAAATTGGTAAAGTACTTTAATAAATATGGGAACACAGAGTCACTCAGCCCCCCTGGAGGGTGTAACATATTCAGAGATCACATATGAAGGCTCTTCGACAAACAGTATCTTTAAAAAGTGCTGATAACATCAGAAAAGTTTTCAAGATTATTGTATGAGTAGATGGAATTTCTTTGAATATATTTTCTCTTTTCCCTTCATCTCATTACATATTGTCTCTCTCCTTGTGAAATCCAGCACTTTAAGATTATCAGTTCTTCTACTTAGTTATCTTATCCCGAAGTCCCTGATTTTTAATCCCTCTTCTTTATGTATAAGATGAATTAGGCATACAACTCTTTTATTCTTTAAACCCTGCTAATCTGTCCCCTGCCATCCTTGTGTGGTGATGAGAGTCCCGCATTGTACAGGAACACTTCCCAGCATGGAGGCTCTATGTAGCCAGTGAAGTCCTGCTTTCCATGCAATCAAGGACATAACTTACAGGTTGCTGTGAGTGACAGTAAGACTTTATCCCTCTGATAAGAGTGGAAAAATCAGATTGGTTCTCCTGTCCTAGAGGAGCTGACAGAGGAGGTGAGCTGGGAGAACCATGTGGCAGCAAGTTCTGCTTTGAGCAGAAAGGTGTGCAGCGAGTGGACATCATTCACTGCAGTGTTATCAGCAAAGCTCCAAAAGGATAAGCATTGCTTTTTACCAGCTAGTCCAGTGCGAAGCTCCTTAACACATTTTCCACCTGTGTCCTTCCCAGGCAAAGTCCCAACTTTTGGAGAGCATCCACAGCTTGGACATTTCCAGATCTTTGTGTGCCTGCTTCTTTATAAATCACCTGTTTTGGTCGGTGTTTAAGTTCTGCTGCTATCAGGCAGGACTTCCGCAAGGGGCTGGGGAGGAGGTGTGAGCCTGTTTGGTTAAATGAAGCCACTCTTGTCTCAGATTCTGTCATGTTTGACTAGCTACTAGATTTGCTAATGAGGAAGAGGAGCCTTTAGGACGCCTTATGAAGGAAATACAACAGATGTATGGATTTTCATCATGCTTTGTTTCTCACACTCCAACTACACAACCACCCTTGAATATGTGTGGGTGTCATGTGTATTCAGCTGTGTGTTTTAAGGAATTAATCTGACATAAAGCAGAAACAGCAAACACTGTTGGACACTACTTTGCTGCACCGGTCCCCTGACAGAAAAGACCATAAATTGTGCCTCCCTCAAAGAGTAATGCAGACCCAGAAAGAATCCAGAAATGGCATTAAGGTACAGAGTGCTGCTAATCCTTGGGAGGCTCATTTCACTTTCCACTGGATGCAGGATTGGCAGTGCAGAGAGAAAAGCAAGATATTATCTACTTTGCATCCATGTGGTCATTTTTTGCATTCTCAAGCATTGTTTGCAATAGTCACTATTCCTGAGTACCTGGGGTATGGGGATCAAGAGGAAAAACCCTATCTGCCAAGTTACTGTTCCTCATAATCCAAGTTGGAGACATCTTCATGCAGCAGCTTGTGGTCTTGGTACAAGTCCGAGGGTGAATCAGTGGCAAAGGCACTTACAGTCTGTCCTGTCAAGGGTGGGGTCTGTCCTGTGCCCCAAGGAGCTGCAGGGACAGGATTTGTGCTGTGAGAGTGCCCTACCATGAGTCAAAGAAAGGGACAGTGTATGCTGATGAGAGAACAAGCTGCCATTTCCCATCACAGTCAATGCA